GGTTGCTGGTGAAATGGTCACATTCTACCACAGAGCGGGTTGCTGGTGAAATGGTCACATTCTCCCACAGAGCGGGTTGCTGGTGAAATGGTCACATTCTCCCACAGAGCGGGTTGCTGGTGAAATGGTCACATTCTACCACAGAGCGGGTTGCTGGTGAAATGGTCACATTCTCCCACAGAGCGGGTTGCTGGTGAAATGGTCACATTCTCCCACAGAGCGGGTTGCTGGTGAAATGGTCACATTCTACCACAGAGCGGGTTGCTGGTGAAATGGTCACATTCTCCCACAGAGCGGGTTGCTGGTGAAATGGTCACATTCTCCCACAGAGCGGGTTGCTGGTGAAATGGTCACATTCTACCACAGAGCGGGTTGCTGGTGAAATGGTCACATTCTCCCACAGAGCGGGTTGCTGGTGAAATGGTCACATTCTCCCACAGAGCGGGTTGCTGGTGAAATGGTCACATTCTACCACAGAGCGGGTTGCTGGTGAAATGGTCACATTCTACCACAGAGCGGGTTGCTGGTGAAATGGTCACATTCCCCCACAGAGCGGGTTGCTGGTGAAATGGTCACATTCTACCACAGAGCGGGTTGCTGGTGAAATGGTCACATTCTCCCACAGAGCGGGTTGCTGGTGAAATGGCCACATTCTACCATAGGAAAGGTTGCTGGTGAAATGATCACATTCTTCCCAAGGGAGGTTTGCTCACCAGCTCAAATGATCATATTCTCCCATTGGGACAATCAGGGTTGGTCCTGGTACCAAGTCCTGGTACCATCAAACACAACACAAGCAGAGTATCAATAACAGACAACAGTAATATAACGCTGCCTGAACCATAAGACATATTAATACAATGATGTGAGTTATACTGTATAAGATATGGAAGTCCGAACTAGACCTGAATTCAAGTATTATGACAGTATTTGTCCGACCCACACCTCCAGTGAGTTGAGACATCATACAACAAGACTATTGTGAGACCATGTGCTTAAAAGCCCAAGAAGGTGAGCTCATGACAGCTGTAGCTACTGATCAATTCCCTCTCCAGCATATAGCCTCAAGCATGCTTCCAACATCCACAACCACCATCAATAATCAATTAGTATTTGTACAAACATACTCTATGTAGCTAGCATCAACCAGGAGGTGTGTGTGATAGCAAAACAACGAACAGAGAGACTTGGCTGGCGTCCCAATTTCAGCTGGTCAGCTAATCATTCTCATTGGTGGGATAGCCAGACCTGTCAACTGCTCATCATTACCATGGGTGAGGTTGACTTTAAGATGAGGGAGATTTGCCCTCAAATCGGGAGACTTTTAAAATAGTTACGATAAGAAGATCATTTACAACTTTACTTTTAATTTTATTAAGAAAACCATACATTTTGAAACAATAAAAAATAATGTTTTGTGAATATAGCCAGCTAAATTTCCGTTTGCATTTACCTCCACCAAGAATAAACCCAGTACAATCTACCCATATCACTTTTGTTCAAAAATCTTCTTTGAAAAACGAAAACAAATATTCAAAATAAACGATCGGTAGCTTGACCAGTTGATGAGGTGTTCAAACTGACCAATTGTCAGCTATCCTCATGATGCAGTTTTCTAAGTATCTTGTATGATTTTAGTTACAAAATATGCCAAAGAAACATCAAGTGTATTAATCCTGATGCAACATGATCGCCCCTAACTTCATTGGTTTTTTTCTGCCTGTGGTAGTCTGACAATTTTTTGTTTCATATATTTCATAGAAATATGCGCCTCATTCCACTTCCAAGAAATGTAACTAATGGCGTAACTTTGAGGTATATTGATGTTTTTACATAGCTTCTGATAAATCTGATAACCAATAAGGTCATGTATAACTGGGCCAGCTATATATAACCGTTCAGGCACCTGTTAGGACTATCCAAGTTTTCTTTACAGCTTAAACTGTTAAATCATTCTCCATATGGGTTAAAGCACCAGTTGATTACAAGACAAAGGCCTATCCGGGGCCAACGGGCCTCCGGCGGGTGACCGTGTTGAGAATCACTAATCTGGGAGCCTGCCGGTCAGAGTGAGGTATCACATGCATGTATTTAATGCATACAGATTTAATCGGAAAACTTACTTGTAGATTTCTGTAGTTGTAAACTTCCTGTTCTTTGTTTTCACTTGTGGAACAATGGAGGTGAATTCCAAAATTAATGGCCAATGCTGTTTTGAGGGAGAAATAGTCTCTAATGCAGGAGTCGGAGATTTCATCAAATGGCGAGAGTCTCCACAAAATGCGAGAGGGTTGACAGGTCTGTGTAGCAGCTAAAGACGGGTACCAGGTGGTATCTATAATATTGGTCACTATGGAAATGAGTATAACTGAACTTCAGAGACCTTTCGCAACACCTGGTTTGTTGACAGATTCATTCTCACAGAAAAAATGTCTTTTTTGATTAACAGTGTTCAAATGAATTAATTGAAAATTCCATATAAATTTTCTAAAAGAAGTATTGTGTTTGGCAGTGACTAAAAGTATGCGCAGGTAGACCTTTGTCCTGGGATAAAACATGTCACACTGAAGTGCAATAATCTTCAATGTGATGACAAACCCCATTTGATCTCACACACACTATAGGCAACCCTTTCTGCATAATTCCCCACTGAACCTCTCCACACACCCCACTGATACACCCTACAGGGGGAACCTCTCCACATACCCCACTGTTACACCCTACAGGAGGAAACCTCTCCACATACCCCACTGATACACCCTACAGGAGGAAACCTCTCCACATACCCCACTGTTACACCCTACAGGGGGAAACCTCTCCACATACCCCACTGATACACCCTACAGCGGGAAACCTCTCCACATACCCCACTGATACACCCTACAGGGGAAACCTCTCCACATACCCCACTGATACACCCTACAGGGGGAAACCTCTCCACATACCCCACTGATACACCCTACAGGGGGAAACCTCTCCACATACCCCACTGATACACCCTACAGGGGAAACCTCTCTGCATACCCCACTGATACACCCTACAGGGGGAAACCTCTCCACATACCCCACTGATACACCCTACAGGGGGAACCTCTCCACATACCCCACTGTTACACCCTACAGGGGGAAACCTCTCCACATACCCCACTGATACACCCTACAGGGGAAACCTCTCTGCACACCCCACTGATACACCCTACAGGGGAAACCTCTCCACATACCCCACTGATACACCCTACAGGGGGAAACCTCTCCACATACCCCACTGATACACCCTACAGCGGGAAACCTCTCCACATACCCCACTGATACACCCTACAGGGGAAACCTCTCCACATACCCCACTGATACACCCTACAGGGGGAAACCTCTCCACATACCCCACTGATACACCCTACAGGGGGAAACCTCTCCACATACCCCACTGATACACCCTACAGGGGAAACCTCTCTGCATACCCCACTGATACACCCTACAGGGGGAAACCTCCCTGCATACCCCACTGATACACCCTACAGGGGGAAACCTCTCCACATACCCCACTGATACACCCTACAGGGGGAAACCTCTCTGCATACCCCACTGATACACCCTACAGGGGGAAACCTCTCGTTTGTGGAATGACCCCGGGTCTAGCTACATTGTGTGGCAGACTGTACTAGCTGCACTGCGTGCAGGGACACAATAAACTACCTGCATTTGAACTACTCCCAGGCTTTGCTCTAAGTGTGAATTCATGTCAACAAATTGCCATTATAATGTCTATCAGATATTCGAGAATAATATGTGGGTTTTCTTTCCTGTTGTAGGTTGATGTGTTTGGGGGATTATTTACAAAGTTTGTACTCTCACAGCGACAGTTTCCACACACTCCTGTCTAATGCCATTGACAGAAATGTTTGTTTTTCTTAACTCCCAACTTAACTAATGGACCAGAGTCGTGTGATCTCTAGTTGGGACGTTTAACAAAAGGTTAAGTGCTTGTGAAATTACAGCGAGATGTCACGAAGCTGGTGCTGAATGATATGTGTGCTGTACATGGCTGGGTATTGTGGGCTCAGTCGTAGTTTATAGAGCGGAATGGCACAATTTGCATCTTGTGACTGGGACTTGTAAGTCATAAAAGAAACCCTCAACAAGGATCCCGATTGACAGATATGCATGATACACAAAAGAATGACTCAGAGACTGTAGAATTGCTTCTATACAAGATTGTAAAGACTTATCAGCTAATGACACCATCACACCTAGACATCACAGGACAAATATTAAACAGAATTTGACACATTTCACAACTGGTAAGATGCCGTGAAACGCAAATAAATACACAATCATGACATACTTGACACATTTTGACACAGATGACATTCAAGACACAGATGACACATCATGACACATATGACATATGACACAGATGACATATCACGACACAGATGACATATGACACAGATGACATATCACGGCACAGAAGACATATGACACAGATGACACATCATGACACAGATGACATATGACATAGATGACATATCATGACACAGATGACATATGACATAGATGACATATCATGACACAGATGACATATGACACATCATGACACAGATGACATATGACACAGGTGACACATCATGATATACCACGACACATATGACATATCACAACACATATGACATATGACACAGATGACACATCATGACAGATGACACATCATGACACATGTCACGACAGATGACAAAATCATGACATGTCCTGACACATGTCATGACACAGATGACATTCACGACACATCATGACATATTTGTTTGTTGTTTACCACCACTCAGCAATATTCCTTCTATATGACGGCTCATGACATGTCATGACACAGTTGGCATGTCATAACATATCATGACACATGTCATGACTCAGATGACACATCATTACACAGATGACATGTCATAAAACAGATGACATGTCATGACACAGGTGCCATCCACCAGCCTCCAAATGATCAGGTACTTACGCTTTCCTCCACTTTATATGCAATAGGGCTAGCTCCTTGCATAATCTCATCTTCACTCATAGGCCGTATCCGGCAGGCAACCTGCAAGGGATATCTCTAGTTTAGTAACATGGCACAACTCATAGCAACTATAAACAGTCTTATACAACTCTCTGCTACAAATATGGTATGTGAGACTAGGTATAGGAGACTACGGTATGGGGGGGACTACGGTATGGGGGGACTATGGTATGGGAGACTATGGTATGGGGGGACTACGGTATGGGGGGGGCTATGGTATGGGGAAGACTACAGTATGAGAGACTATGGTATGGGAGACTATGGTATGGGGGGACTACGGTATGTAGGGACTATGGTATGGGAGACTATGGTATGGGGGGGGGGGGGACTACAAAATGAGAGACTATGGTATGTAGGGACTATGGTATGGGAGACTATGGTATGGGAGACTATGGTATGGGGGGACTACAGTATTAGAGACTATGGTATGGGAGACTATGGTATGGGGGGACTAGGGTATGGGAGACTATGGTATGGGGGGGACTACAAAATGAGAGACTATGGTATGGGGGGACTACGGTATGGGGGGACTATGGTATGGGAGACTATGGTATGGGGGGACTACAGTATTAGAGACTATGGTATGGGAGACTATGGTATGGGGGGACTACGGTATGGGAGACTATGGTATGGGGGGGACTACAAAATGAGAGACTATGGTATGGGGGGACTACGGTATGGGGGGACTATGGTATGGGAGACTATGGTATGGGGGGACTACGGTAGGGGAGACTATGGTATGGGGGGACTACGGTATGGGGAGACTATGGTATGGGAGACTATGGTATGGGGGGACTATGGTATGGGGGGACTATGGTAGGGGAGACTATGGTATTGGAGACTATGGTAGGGGGGGACTATGGTATGGGGAGACTATGGTATGGGAGACTATGGTACCGGGAGACTACGGTATGGGGAGACTATGGTATGGGAGACTATGGTAGGGGAGACTACGGTATGGGGAGACTATGGTATGGGAGACTATGGTAGGGGAGACTACGGTATGGGGAGACTATGGTATGGGAGACTATGGTAGGGGAGACTATGGTATGGGAGACTATGGTATGGGGAGACTATGGTAGGGGAGACTATGGTATGGGGGGACTATGGTAGGGGAGACTATGGTATGGGGGGACTACGGTATGGGGAGACTATGGTATGGGGGGACTACGGTAGGGGAGACTATGGTATGGGGGGACTATGGTATGGGGAGACTATGGTATGGGAAACTATGGTACCGGGAGACTATGGTATGGGGGGACTACGGTATGGGAGACTATGGTATGGGGAGACTATGGTATGGGGGGACTATGGTATGGGGAGACTATGGTATGGGGGGGACTATGGTATGGGGGGACTATGGTATGGGGAGACTATGGTATGGGGGGACTACGGTATGGGAGACTATGGTATGGGGGGACTACGGTATGGGAGACTATGGTATGGGGGGACTATGGTATGGGGAGACTATGGTATGGGGGGACTACGGTATGGGAGACTATGGTATGGGGGAACTATGGTATGGGGAGACTATGGTATGGGGAGACTATGGTATGGGGGGACTACGGTATGGGAGACTATGGTATGGGGGGACTACGGTATGGGAGACTATGGTATGGGGGGACTATGGTATGGGGAGACTATGGTACGGGAGACTATGGTATGGGGGGACTATGGTATGGGGAGACTATGGTATGGGGGGACTACGGTATGGGAGACTATGGTATGGGGAGACTATGGTTTGGGGAGACTATGGTATGGGGGGACTATGGTATGGGGAGACTATGGTATGGGGGGACTATGGTATGGGGAGACTATGGTATGGGGGGACTATGGTATGGGGAGACTATGGTATGGGGGGACTACGGTATGGGGAGACTATGGTATGGGGGGACTACGGTAGGGGAGACTATGGTATGGGGGGACTATGGTTTGGGGAGACTATGGTATGGGGGGACTACGGTATGGGAGACTATGGTATGGGGAGACTATGGTATGGGGGGACTACGGTACGGGAGACTATGGTATGGGTGGACTTCGGTATGGGCCCATTGACACGGAGCCCTTATTTGGTGTATGTCTGTATGTTGGAACTAGTGACCTCGAGGAATGTGAATCTCAGACTTACTCAGGGTAATCTCTAGCTGCTAGATTCGTATGTATACATAATGAGTTAGCATAACAACAAGGTGCATTCATGGGAAAGACTAAATGAATCCAACTTGTTAAATTGTAAAGGTCTTAATGCTACTGCTGCCCAGCATCTGCAGTTAAACCCATTCTACATGTTCTATGAGCAGCATGCTCAACTTTAGCACAATGACCCAACAAATATAAAAGCTAAACATCCACTTGAAGCACATGCCAGAACACATTTATCATGACCATAGTTTAGAAATAAAAATTGTGAAATATTGGCTACATGATTGTGTGTTTTTCTCTAAAGCCAATGTCTTATAGTTATACATGTATAGTTGTAACACATTTTGTGGAACTGGTGACTTTTGAGGTGCTTGTCCTGTTGGCTACCTGAGGAAATAACATCTGGGAAACTCTGACTGAACTAGGAGACAGTTCACACGTAATGATTGAAACAAGAACAGACTTCACAATTAATAATGTGACCAGACAATTACCAAAGGCCAATGTGCAACTAAAATTAGTAAACAAACATTGAATGGAGTAGACATGGTTACTTAGTTGGTGTGAACTGATCATAACTAACGCAAACTTCTCACAGTAGACTAATCTTAATCAGGTTCTACCGACAGAGAAGCCTTATAGCACTTGCTATCTTACAATAACCTACAACAATCTTTTCCCACCAGTAGTAATCACAACCTGATCATACCTTAATTCTCTCCATCAGCAAAATCACATCTAGATGCCAGAAAACAAAAGAAAGTATAACTAGTGTGATATGGTGTTATCATCCAGACATCCGTCACTCTCTCCTCCAAGCATCCATGTTGGAGACACTGTCACCCAGGTAGCTGACAGACAGTAGGACGGATATGTGGAGTTTATTCCCCTCTTATCATGATTATCTCCTTGTGGTGATGAAGCAATCAGGGCCCCATCAACCATAACATCTCCACTACAATACACACGTCACAGGCTTGGTAATCAAGTGGTTTCTATACACACAATTAAGAAAAACAACTCCCTATCCAAGTGGGATAATGGAATTTCAAATATATGTATGTATTGAATTATTTAAGATTATCGGTGTGAGTTTGTGACTCTGATCTGAGAAATATCATTGCACCTTTGTGTCATCATCTTTTACAAGTAAATTCGGAGCTTGATGCTGAAGTGATACATGTTTCTTGTCAAAATGCAACATTAATCTACTTTTCATTACTGACAAAAGAACTTAACATGTCTTAAGTCTGTTACTATCTTATTTTTCCATTAGATACATTGTACCAAACTGGCACTTCTCTAAATTTCAGTCTGTAAACAATGTAGCACCTTGAGCAATCACTTGATGAATGGAACAGCATATTATTTAAAATATTTCCAGTTTATATCAATCCTTTTTAGCACATATTGCTGATTTAATTTCACTTTGTATTATTTACATTAAATAACATGAACAATATTGAGTATTTCTTTTTACATTATCCCATTCAAAACATCTTTACCTACTGGTAATACAGAAGACCAGCATCAGAATATTTCAATCTAATGTTAACAAGAAAAGAGCACAATAATGTCCCCTGATGTGCATGAGCCATGTCATGTGATTCAGATGCTTCAGTTAAATTTCTCCTAAACGTTCATTGATCTTATTCTCTTGAATCACATAAAAAATGTGAGTCCTAGCAACCAGGTAACACTGCCATCACAAACAAGTCCTCCACACAAGGGCAACCTGTGCACATCCCAGGATGACAGTGTAATGAAGGTTGTCACAGAGATCAAACTATGTTCATGTAAGACTCCATGTATGATTGGACATACAGTTCATTCTCCAATCTTTAGTCACGATATGGCTGATACTGCCGATGTGACTATAAATCTTAACTCACTCACTCACTCATTCTCCAATCTGTGGCATATTTACAATTTATGGTAGTTCTTACTGTGGCAACATGACAAATGTAATGGAAGACAAAGACCATTACAGCCTGTTTAAATATCAGCATAAATGCAAATGTCCTGTGGTAATGGAATTGTACAATCTGACGCAAGTGGGAGACTTGCTATAGTCCTACATACAAATACTCACATTGGGAGTTAATGTATGGAGTAATAGGTTTCAAGATGCAGGAACAGCAATTTACATGTTTGAAAGTTGTCAGGGGTGATTTAAGGTTAATTTTGTAAAACAACATTTGAAATAATAATATATCAATATCAAACGCTGACATTAACAATATTTTCAATCAAAGACAGCATAAATATCTTATTCGTACTTAAGTCTTCGGCAGATCTTCAAGGTAACATAACAATCGGTTTTGGTCTCATGAGATTATAGTTTGCCAACTCAAAAATGTGGAAATAATAAAGCTGTAAATAGAAAAGACTTTGACGTATGAGCCTGGTCCTAAGTGAATGGATTTGTATATTTAGACAAACAAGAACATTGTCCAAAAATAAATCATACATAGTTGAAGGATATGAACTGTGTGTGGCAGGATGATAGAACCCCTGTCAGCAACCCCTGTGATATAACAGCCTCACTGTGTGTAGTAGGAAGATAGAACCCGTATCAGCAACCCCTGTGATATAACAGCCTCACTGTGTGTAGTAGGAAGATAGAACCCGTATCAGCAACCCCTGTGATATAACAGCCTCACTGTGTGTAGTAGGAAGATAGAACCCGTATCAGCAACCCCTGTGATATAACAGCCTCACTGTGTGTAGTAGGAAGATAGAACCCGTATCAGCAACCCCTGTGATATAACAGCCTCACTGTGTGTAGCTGGAAGATAGAACCCGTATCAGCAACCCCTGTGATATAACAGCCTCACTGTGTGTAGTAGGAAGATAGAACCCGTATCAGCAACCCCTGT